GATGTCCTTTGTCACCAAGTCCTCTGACCCATTCAGCAAAGGGCCCACATTTTCCCTCATCTTCCTTTCACTCCTGCTATCCTTTGGAAGCCTTTCTTCTTGTCCTTTTGAGTCCTTCACCAGATTCAATTCCAGGTGGGCTTTGGCTTTCCTAACTCCATCCCAAGGAACCAGGTCATTATCCCTGTATTCCTCCTGGGTCACCTGTTCCTGCTTTAAGTTCTTACATGCTTTGGGAGGAATTTCCAGATTATAAGAGACTTACATTCAATGTTTCCTCCATTTCAGTACCCCATCAAAAACAGTAGACAGTTTTGAGCATTTAGATTTATTTCCCCAGGGACTCCCACATATCAGGTGAAGTCCCCGAGAATTCATTAGGCAGTTGAGAACTTGTCTGCTAATCATACAGATGTCTTAAATGGAGTAAGCTTGCTTGAAGCACTCTATCCTTAAATGCTGAACTTCACCAAAGACATATGGTATGCAAACAAAGTCTCATCATTTTCTCCATGTTCATTATGTGAAGAAAACAAAAGCTCTGCAGCCAGCAGTGCTAGAGTCTATTTTAATTTCTTAGTGGGGTGCTAAGCAAAAACAAGCAGTATGCATGAGTTACTGATTACTGCAGGAAACAGGAGGTCCAGTTTTCTACTGCTTTAGATTTTCCATTATAAAGATGTTACACTCCATTCTGGCAGTCTGTTAGCATTCACTTTGAACATGACTTCACAAGATGTGAAGAAACAGCACCACATCATGGGAATTGAGGCCCCTAAATTGCATACTTGGCATTGACATCAATTTCTTGTTCTATACCACAGCAGGAAAGACCTCCCTGTTCCACTCTTCTTCCTTATTGGCAAAATATGGATTGAGGTGTATGCACAGCAAGGGAACCAGTCCAAAGGTATAATTGCTTTCTGAAGTCCTTTTGTGATCCTCCCTAGGAAGCCCTATGGTTACACAAAATGCTGTTATTCTTTTCATTGAAATAAACACTTGGTTTCCAGGATAATTGTTTTTTTTATTATTTCCAAGAGTATGAAAGACACTCCACATTCCAATAATTTATTAATCTGCAGTACTGTGTTAAAGCTTGGCTCTCTCCAGCAGTGATGCTTTCAAGTGCAATTGGAAGTCATATAGCTATGTGCACAGAGGCTTAAAGAGTACCAGTAAATAGCTTCAGAAAGGAGTTTAATCCTGTAACAAGCTTTAAATATCTAGAAGACTTCTTCAGCATAAGCACGCAGCATGTTAACTTCAGAGTTTACCAAACTAGTTATTTCTACCAATGCAGTTGAGATAACATAAAAGCTTTGCAGAAGTTATAAATATGGACTTAGCAACAAAGAAATATTTACCCTAGGAAAACAGAGCAAGACATCCAGAAAATTTCACTCCCAACCAACACACACATTCAACACAACCAGCAGAACTGTCAAAGCATACGGGTCATTCACCAAAGCAGGCAAGATAGAGTGGGTAACAAAATAGCACTGGGATACTGGGGCACCAGCGCAAGAACAACAGAACAGGGCATTTGTCCCCAAAAGCAAATTTCCTTCCCTGCCACACCACAAATGTGCCTGTTAAGCAAGTGTCCCTAACTGTTAGCACAGCAGATACCCCGGTAAACGTGAAAATAGCAAGCCAGACTCAGCAACTACATTTTGGGGAACTTTTACCTCCTTCCTCCCACCACAAGCTTAAAGCTAGACAAAAAATTGAAGGGTCAACACTTCTTCCGCACACCATAATCAAACATTTTCAAGCACCTCTCCCACTCAGCAATAAGAGCAGCTAAGTGCTGGAACTTAGCTGTCAAGGTAATTAGTTAATAGATTGTTACATTTATGCTTCAAACCCGAGAAAGGTTTTCACAGAAGACAAACCACGCATGTAACTGAAGGCTCAGTGGAAGCATACCAGATGAAGGGCTCTGCTATGTCTTACATTTACAGGAAGTCTGTGCACAACAGGGTGTAAAAATCTCTAAAGGCCATGTCCTGTCTTTTAGGAAAAAGCCTCTGCAACCACTGCCTGTACCTTCATCTTGCAGCATTCTGACAAATAAGATAACTAAAATAGCCAGGAAACCACATAAAGCTAAGGAAGTAGCACAAAGCCTTAGCAGCACTTTTACCTTACCTTCTTCCACCTTTACCCACTGTAGGAAGAACCAAGTTCTAGCTTTGCCTCTTTTATCTCAGTTTTCAATGCACTATTACTACTGTTAGACAAACTCCAAAAAAGCATCAAGCTACCATTTGATTATTAGCCACCACCTTTCAGGCAGTGGAAGCAATGGAGTGCAAAACTCCAAACTAAATACAACCTTCCCCTTAAAAAGAAATCTCCCCTCTTATTTGCTCCTCCTAAATGAAGATAGAGCACGTCATACTGAGCCCAGTTGCTACTCCTCTACTGCAGAGGACTGACTGCATTTGCTGCTGTTCTACCCATGCAATGGCTGCATGAGTAAAACAAGGCTAGGTGAAAGCTGCGCTGGTGAGGGTGGGCTCTTACCTGCATTAGCCCAGGGGAGGTACCAGGGGCAGCTCACGTTCACGTAGGTGCCTGGCAGCCCGTCCGGCCAGCACGCGTAGTTGTCAAACGTCCGGTTGCAGAACTTGCCTTCTGCAGGGAGAGGGAAGGGAAAGTCAGGCCAGCGCCTAGTGCTGTTATTGCAAGGTGGAAAACTCTGAAGATTGGAAGATAAAAGGAAATAAGGACATGTGCATATAAGCCATAACAACGCTATGCAATTAAACTTCGATATGGAGTTAAGCTCTTTTGGCCAAGAAAAGAAAGCCTTGCTTGTCCTCACACGATAGGAGAGTTAAGAAGGGAACTAAACAGCAGTCTGGGATCTTTGACTAAACTAAGAGACAATAAAGGCAACTCATGACAAATCCATTTCTGTCTTTTCCTGTTTACACCCTTACATATGTCAGTTTCGTCTAAATTTTTTTTTGCTGTGGATACTGTAGATAATCATTCCCAAGAACCAGCTGACAGTCACACTTGTTGGAAAGTCTAACCTAATAGATAGATCCATCAACAAAATACCCACACACAACCATAACTTTGTATTACAGCTTAATCAACATGAGCATCCTTCAACCTCAGATTTATTAAACTGTCATTCTTAGAGGGCAGCACTCAACCGCTCAACGAGATAATGGAGCAGAGGGAGATGAATCCTTCCCTGCCATTGCTCTCATCAGCCACTGCTCAGTCTCTCTCTCTCTCATTCTGCAGTAACAGTAACATAGCCAAGAGAAGAAAAATTAACATTTTGGAAATAATTCTTCACAGACACAACTTTAGACCCATCTCATCTCTTCCAGTATGTCACCAAAGCACTGGAGCATGTAGGATCGGCCGTACCATGCCCAGCTGTGAGTGTCATTGACAAGTCACCAGCGTCCTCTAAACACGATGATGCTGAGCACACCACAGCTGCGCTCACCTCATTACAGCAGCTCAACTGCTAAGACAAGCTGCATTCTCATTGTCACTACGGCACTTTTTAACCATTCCAGCATTATACAATGCTCAAGGCAATTTATACCGCCTGCACGCCTCACAGGTAGTACCAGGTCAAACAGCATGGTCCTAAGTTTCCTATGATTCTACAACTGATCAGCTCTACGAACATTGGTGCTTGCTCCAAACCCTGACCCTACAGAAGTTGCAGGTGTATCACACTAGCATGCATAGGATGCCACTCTCGACCTAGAATGGAACAGCTTGACTGTGAAATCCTTCCACAAATTGCTTGCCCTCCACAGTGGGATGACCGTCACACATCAACAGGAGGCTGAAAAGAATGGAATAAAGAAGAAACAGATTGGAAAGCAAGCTGCAGAAATGCTTTCAAGCCCATGATCACTTCCTAGCCACTGTTACCAGGCATTTAAAAGATTAATATCTCTACCCCTACTAAGCAGGCTTACCTGCCACAATGGGGGGTGCCTCGTACAAGTATTTCAGGCATTGAAGCTGATACTCCTTCCACTTCTGCACAACCCCAGAAAGGGACCCATCTGAGCTCTGAAAGAGAAATCACAAGTCTCAGACATGGCAGCATTTAAACTGCATGTTTTGCATGCAGCCAAACTAGGGGGCTGCGAGGATAACTACCAGCAAGCCCAGATAGCACTGAGTATGATAAGGAAGGTGAGAAACTGCTGTGTATTTGCCTCAGTACAGCCAAAGAAATCACCTTCTATCTATTTGTACTCTGTGTCCTCAAATAAAATCCATGTTAAGTTAGGCTTGTGCTCTCAAACATGTCTTAATTGTGTGACTTAATTCTCAAAAGAACAGCAACAAGACCTCTCGGCAGAGGGTTTCTTGCCAACAGCAAAACTTCTGTTATCCCATGAACAAGACCAACTTAACTCCCTGTATTCAGCCAGTACTGCCCAAGTATTCTCCCAGAGCCCAAAGAAAAATCTTTCCCAGCTCAGCTCCCTTCCATGGAAAATCACCTTTCCCAGCATCCAACCCATTTTCCCCGAAGCTGCAGAAAGTGCAGGGACCTCCTTCTTGCAGTTCGACAGACTGCCGAGTCCATCAAGTGTCAAAGGGGGAAAAAACAAACAAAAATCAAAGTCTGTCTGATCATGCAAGAAATCAGCTATTATTAAGACACAGCTTAGAACCAGCAGCTGGTTCAGCTCTTGCCAACCCTCCCTGGCTCACAGGGGCCCAGCTCACACACTGCATTTCAGCAAGGCAACACCAACTCTCCTTATATTTGTATAAGCTAAATTATAAACGTAAAGATTACCAGGCTCCAAGCAATCCATAACACTGCTAGCTCAGCAGACTTTGTCAGAGAAAGGCCTAGCATGGGTGTCTCAAAGAGACGTAAAATCAACGGCATGAGCCTAATAGTATAACACACTAATACCGCATGGATGAAGAGTCATTTAATCCCAGCTGTTGATCAGTTTATGAAGTGAAGCATGAGGCCTAATAATCCTTGTAATTTCACCCTCACCGCTTCAGCTGCCTTTTTTGCATTTGTACTGCTAAGCCTTTTCAGAGGGTCAAGAAACTCCTGGGAGTTTCTTCCCAGAGTTCTTTACCCAAAGGTCCTGGGAAAGCATCGTTTTAAACATATATTGAATTTTGAGAAGTGCCAGACTGGATGCTGTACATTACAAAGAATGCAACTTGAAAAGTCACCAGTGAAACCACCCTGGTTTAGAAGGTTTAGAAGTAGAACTGGCATTTTTGGACTACAATTTTTTCAATTCCTCTCTCATTTTCTATCCTTCCAGGTCAAAAAAAAGTTTGAAAAGAAAAACCATATACATCATGCTTCTGCCTGGATTAAACCATTAAGCTTAAATCACAAAGATGCTCTCAAACACATCATGAGAGCTACAGCATTTGGTAGATATCCACATTGTGTTTAGGGAATGGTAGCTGCATACATTTACATGCAACTCGTGACTGCAGCTAGGGCCTCACAGCTAAAAATTTCCAAAGAATTTAGCAAACTCCCACTGAAGTCAAAACAAGAACAAGCCTGCAGGTCTTTGGAAAGCTGACCCTTGTCTTGCTGATTTAAATCATCCTGGTCGCATCTCACCCTTGCCAATAGGGGCTGCCAAAACTTGCCTGTACCAAATTCCTGCATGTAAAAAGTGAGCTCCCTGAGTCATAATTCTACGGGCCTACAGATACACAAAAACCTCTGTTGTAGCTATCTGTGCTCAATATACCTAAAGGGAAAATACAACATCACTGCCCAAATTAGGGCTTTGAGTGGAGAAAAGCATACAACCACCACCTCCAGAACTAAAATGCCATCCACAAAACTCTGTAGCCTGAACAGGGAGTAGATGATGGGAAAATGGGGAGAGAAAGAAAGGATTGCAAATTTAAGTTTATGCCAGATAATCCTGACAGAGTAACTTTCAGGTCCTCCATCATTTAAAAATTCTTCATTTTGCAAAGCTAGCTATGCAAATTATATAATACTGGTCTCCATCCTCACAGCCATGTTAACATCTTCCAGTGAGGATTAAAATGAGCAATTTTTAGTATTAATTCTTGCAAAATTATCACCTGCTATAATTTGTAAAGGTATTAAAAGCTATCACATGTCTAACCAAAAAGCAATTGCTGCTCATGCACATATGGCCCCTTCAGTCTAATCAAATACTGCCTTATACATTATTTATGAAAAGCAAAGCAAGATACAGAGTTTCATTAAAAAAAAAAAAAGGAGACTACCTGTGTAAACATCCTATAAGCCTAAAAAAAGTGTTTGCCCAAAGAAAATGAGCTCCTTTGAAATGAGCAAGCCTTTAAAACAAGTTTCCCTCCTCACCTCTCTAAATCAAGTTTTTATCTATTGTCTGCAAGAACGCAGGTATAACCAGCTCTAATTACAGCTTGGGAAGAGAAAGCTCCTATCTCTCCATTTAATGGAAAAGTAGAAACATTCTATTTATATTGGCTTCTCATAATGTGGTAAGACAACTCTAACAAGGAGATTAGCAAGCCATAATAATAAAATAATTAGATACACTTCTTGTGTGGGGATGACTGATTTGGTAGACAGCTTTCTATTATCTATAGACGATTGTAATAAGACAATCAAATACAATGCCAGGACTACCTAATTTGTTCTTTCAACAGTTTATTCTCTGCTTTAGCTAAATATCACATTTTGTTATCAGAGAGATTAGCATATATTAAAATCAAATTTAAATTAATTCAGACTTTCCAGAGATTTTGGGGCAGATAAACAACAGCCTCTAGCTACACAGCACTGCAGATCTGCAGTGCCAGGTGTTACTCAAATAGAGGACACCATATATTCTTGACAAGTTATTTAATTACTACTTCAGCATTAGAGCACTAAACGTTCCTGTATGAAGACAAGGTCTCGGGGTCAGTGCAAGGAATTTTGAGCAAACACACAATGCAAATAGTATTATTAAACATAGGATATTTTTGTAAGCACTTTTAATTATTATTTTTGCTGTTTTTCAGTTGTACCCAGCCATAGAAAAAGCATTAGCGTGATGAAGATTTATTAAACAAAGAGAGGAGGAGATAAGGATGAACACATAGATGACTGGTTAAGGTGGGAAAAACAAGAAGAGGTGAAGGACATTAAGGAGGTAAGTAATGGTTCAGCTAAGTGGCATAAAATGGATTCAGAAAAAATAAGACGAGCAAGAGCAGACAGACTAGGAAACTTCCACTTTAGTTATATAATTAAACACAATTAATCTCTGGTGATAAATTAGCTCATTCAACATCTGAAGACAGAATTCGTTAGAAATCCTTAGCACCTTTATAGGAAAGTCTCTTTCTATCGTTGCCATTTGTCTTCATTGAGCCTGCTGTAAAAAGAAGCTTTTTAATCACTTTTCAACTTTCCTGCTGTACCAGGAAATGGTATTTGTGCATATGAAGATGATTCTTGCTGTGAAAGTGTTATTTCAGTCTGAGCACAGAGCAGCACAAGGGGCTCAGGCAGATGAAGTCCTCCATGTAACCGCAGAATTCAGAGTGGAAGGGAGATTTCCCAGACCTTCAGAAGCAGCTGATACCTCCTGGGATTACTTTCTTTCCTCTTCTCCCACCACATCCAAGGTCTTACATAGGAGAGAAGATGGAGAATCCTTCCCTATTTCTTATCTCCTTTTTATGGGAACCCTTCTCTCACAGTTTTCTCACACCTTTATCATTCCAGGACATGCAAGAGACTTCAGTTTGTCAGGAGTTCAACGTGATTCTGTAGCTAAGACCTCTCAACTGCTAATATTAGTCTTCAGAAGCAAAAGCTAGGCAACCTGGCATTGAACCCAGTTTAGTACGCCCTTGGTTTTCTTGTCTCAGACAGGAATGATGACAGATCTACCTCATGAAAGGAGGGTACAGATTAGGTTTATAACCTTTTAACTAGGGACTGCTGCGTTAGTTATAAATTTCACTGCCCCTTTTGAAAAGCAAGGCCAATGCAGCATATTATTTCAAGCCTATTCTGCTTCACATCGGGACAGCAACTATTTTTAAGATAAAAAAGACCTTACAATATTACCAGCTATGTTTATTCTGATTTCTATTTTTTCCCCCCTTCTGTAATGAACAGTTTCCGTTTCTGCTTTCAACAGATAAACTGGCCACTTCACAGCTTTATTCTATGCATCATATGTTGAAAGGCCATGAATTAAGGACAAAACTGACTTGGAAACTGAAGCCTAAAAGGGGCAGAACATACCACTGACACCTCTGAAAGTTCTGCTGTGATCTGCTACCACCATACCTTCAATGGCATGACAGGCCTTCCCTGCAGAAGGGCCATTTCTGGTTTCCAAACCTTTCCAAAGGTTTCAGACTTAAGTGAATGTATTGGTGCAGGGAGCACATCAGAGGAGGAGGTACATCAAAAGTGACAGTGTTGCCATTACAGATTGTGCAGGAGAGGCATCATTTAACACACCTGAGCAACAGGTTTCCCAGAGACAATGAGATCATGCTTACAATGTCTGGCATCTCCCAGATTTCCATATTTATTACGTCCTTCTTCCCTCCTTTATTACACTGTGCAATTTCAATATTGAGTTTAATGTGGTCATCATACATTATGCAAGACTAAGTGACCCTTTGAGGTAAGTCATTATTCTCAGCCCCTTCTTTAAAGCTGTCTGACTGATATAACATTAATTATGCCTCCAAAGTCATATTTTACAAGATAATTCATTAGCATTTGGACCACACTGGACAAATCCCTCATCCTTCAGACAAGGGAGGGAAGAGGGGGAAGAAAAAAAAAAAAAAAAAAAAAAAAAAAAACAAAAAAAAAAAGAACAAAAAGGGAAAAAAAATTGATTTCGTGGTCACATTTGCCAGCTGAGTTTCCCCCTAAGCTGCAGCAGCTTAGCATTTACAACCAGGCCTTTAAGGAAAAGGGAAATCACTATCACCAGGCTTGAATAAGGGGAAGTTTTGAAAACAACTTTGATCCCTCTATTTTGTCACTGTTTTAAGATTAGGATTTGAAGTTTTATGCTTTCAGATTTTTGAATGCAGAACTCGAGAGCAAGCATTAAGCAGGCACTTAAATTTGATCAGTGCATAGAAGAGGCATTTGCCCACTTGCTTCACTCATGCCAGCCTCAGAGCACACCTCAGACACACAGCACACCTCTAAGCCTGTGCTCTCAGTACCTGGCCAGGAGCATCCATGATCCCAGCTCCATTTCATCCTCTGCCTAATAAGTTGCAAAAACTCATTTCCAGCCCGTCTGAAGAGCAGCCTAAAGAACAAACAGTATTCCCATCAAGGGTAAGAATATGTATAAATTTTTAAAAATAGTAATAAAAAAGGCTTGATGTCAGGATTCCTCTCACAGGTGAAAGTAACCACTACACCACATGGTCCCGCAGCCTGGCTTGCCAGTACGCATTTTTTCCACCACTTACAAAGATTCAGAATAAAGGTATGGATGTGCTTATACCCATGCAAGCCCAAAACCAAGGGGAAGAGAGCTCTAATCATCCTCCACCATTTTTTTTTAATTTTACTTTAAGACTCATTCTTGCAAGATTAAAAAAAAAAAAAAAAACATGATGCATGTATCCACCTTCTGAAGAGATTTGTGAAGGCAGATTTCCAAATACTGAATGTTTCCATCTGGAGTCTTTAAGCAAGGTATCTTAAAAAACAAAACCAGAAGTGACTAGAGCCATAACCCTACTCTACATATGTCAATATTGACTAAGCAGAGGCAGTTCCCTCTTCAGGTGGCTTCATGTTCCATGAATCACTCAGATAAGCTGCCTAAACGTGCAGATGAATTCATCAGCACTGACCACAAGGCTCAGAGTTTCACCCTGCAGTCAAACCTCTCCAAT